GATCTTCGCCCCGCGATGATCATTACCTTCTGACGTGGACGTCCATAGGCCTTCAGCCATCTCGTCATCTGTCAAGGAGAGAATCCTTCTTGTTACTTGTAACATTATACTAATTAGAAAATCTTACTTAAGATATTATATGATAATTTAAATTTAGACTTTAAAATAGCTGAATCTAGGTCTTAATAAGTACTTTATTTTTATAATAACCGTATTACTAATTATACTTATGTTACTAGTATATATATAGCTTACAGTTTTATTTAATTAATTTAAAAATTTATTTATTTCTTAATTCTTTTCTACTATAGTCTTAAAGTGGTTTATTAGCTATATTTTATTAATTATCTCTTTATTAAAGTAGTTTTAACTTAGTCTTACTTATTATATATAGTAATAGTTTTCTTTTTTATTTTTTTCATATATCTATTACTAGACTTATAGTTATATTATTAGTTATTTCTATTATATTATTAATATATTATTATCTATAGTAGATTCTAGACTTTTTTAGTAAATTAATTACTTTTTATTTTATATTTACTAAGGTAAAAGACTATTTGTTATATATTAGCTTTAATAAAGATTTAAGTTAACTATAGTTTTTAAAGAGATCTATAGTATTCTTATAATCTAACTTTAGTAATAAGGCTACGCCGCTTAGTAGGGTGCAGCACTTAGTATAGTGCGCTACTTAGTAGTAAAACACGTTCCTTATTTTATTTATTTATATAAAATAGATCGATATAATATAAATGTAATTTCCTTATATAAGAAATAGAAATAGATATAACTATTATATAAAATATGATCTTTATTTATATTTAACTCTTAGTATTTTATCTAAATAGATATATATATAAAATTTACTAATAGATATCAATATAAAAATTACTAATAGATTAATAAAGATAAATATTAGGTTACTAAGAGTTAAATTAAAGTAGAGGTTTGATTATTCAAAGTTAGATAGAGGTAGAGATTAGGTCTTAAATAATTACTACCTAATCTAATCTAATTTAACTCTTAGTAGCCTAATCTAATATCTATCTCTACCTATTTACTACTATAAATCTACCTAATTACTAGCATTGTACATATTTAAAGTGTTTCTATATAGCGCTCTGCAGGCACACGGATATAATTTATAAAACTTTAATAGTAAATTTCTTTTTAATCGACCCTAATGGGATAAAAGTGTAAAAATTAAGGGACATTTGTTGTGAGACCATCTCGCTACGCGGGCACGCAAATGCCCTTGCCTAGCACCAATTGGTCGCGATCCACATGTGCGTTGCACTGCAACTCTAGCATTTCTTCCACAGTGAGGGGACTAGTTTGGGCAATAGCCCAGCACGTATCTGCTTGTTTAATTTGAACTTCATGACTGCCTTGATGGCAATCGAGTGACCCTTTGGGGTGAGTTAGCGACTCGGCATCACCTGTATACAAGAGTTTGAACACCAGGATCAAAAAGACCAAGCCTATGAGCGCAAATGGCAACATCATACGCACCGTCTCCCTGTTGTCCTTGCTTATCATGTCTTGATGATCGTTGAACATTTCATCAAAAGTGCGCGAGGACGGCCCGCTGCGGTTGTCGAGAAGGTGGATAGACGCGGACCGCGAAGATTGCGATGACGATGGCGAATCGACACGATGCAGTTCGCCGTAACGATTTCCAGGCTCCGACTCGTACATAATACCGTCTGCGTCGCGAAAGGTGTAAGTTTGCGTGTCGGCGTCATGGCCTATGCGCTCAAAGCCAGAGGGGAGGCGCTCGGCGTCCTGTCTCGTTGTCAGTTGCGGGGTGACAGTGGAATGCTAGAGGGGCTTGCTGGTGGCTTACGTACACTGTCCATGTCGAACCATTGGCCCATGATGAATTGCACCAGGCTGTAGTTAGGGGATGAGTTAGTTGAGAGATCAAAGGAACTGTCATACAGCTGGCACGCTGTGATTTTAAGGCAACCAAGCGACAGTGGGCTGTGTCTTACAAAGTCAGGTGTCAGGCATGCTGCGCGCTTATATGCGACAGGCCAGTGTAAGCAGGGCCGTGGCTGCCAATGACGCGTGGTCGGACAATCATTAGGATTGTATACCAGAGTGCACGAGTCTTGATAGCCTGGGCAACCCTTCGATTTCTCCATATCTTTACATTACTAAACCACAACATCAGTCTGGCTACAACGGCTACAAGTACAGCACACAAAGTACTATATCATCGTATGTCTCATGCCCCTTAGGAAACTCTTTGGCTTCTAGTCCAAGGCCACAAGATCAATTTGTTGTCTTTGTACAACCTATCATCTCAATACATACGATTAAATCTAGGGTACAGTTGAAGGGCAGTGGAGGAAGAGAATTTTGCATGATCCTTGGATATAGCATTAATCCCGATGTCCTCCATCGTTCCTTCGCCATCTCATTGCCACTGCCCTATGCTTAAACGTCAATCTCCAAGGTATATCGGTACTTTCAAGCGTAAGAACGACATAAGTAGACAGAACCTTTGGGCAAGCGTAGAGAGCTGGCAGTTGAGCAGTACAACAAGCTCCTCAACAGCATTTAGCATAACCAGCATAGTCAACACCAACTACGTCAATTTCTCAAACCATGGTTGCCCTACCTCTTCACGCATAACCCTGAACGGTACGAAGCGGTCTGCCAATCTACTCGACGACATGCCCAGCTTGTTGTATGTCGGCTTATCGTTAGATGCGCATATCGTAAGCGCGTTAGGATTCAATTTTGCTTGCTTAGCAAACTCATTGTGCATGTATCGCTGCACCGCTGGCCGCACCCCTACCTTCTACTTGCGTCCACGTGGTTTGGAGGCACGCGTCAGTCTGTTCATCCTTTACAAGCACCATCATTTCCGCTATTCTCGCTGTCCGAATGCATGGCAAGATCAATGACTGAAGACTCATCTCACGATGATCATTTCCAATTTGGGGTGACATCAAGCGACGGAAGTGAAGCTTGGCTCCATCTTATCATGTAAACTACTTTTTTCAATCATCTCCTGTATCGAGCTTTCCCAATGCTTATCAGTTTTTTCTTATTCGCTGACAGCTGTTAGTATTTACCCCCGTTGTCCAACAAGTGTGTACTCTTATTATATCGCCTTGTGTTACTTCTTTGGGTCCACTCGATAGGCTTGAAGTACACGCCCTTGGATGCGACTCCGGGGAGCGGAACTGGAGAAAATTAGTTAGGTTCAAGTCGAAGGCCGTGGTCGTAATATGGCGTCTGCTTCCTGATCCGATGAGATGAAACAGTGACTGCCTTTATAGGAGACGATGGGTAACAGCTTTTGGAGCTTTGAACAAATCTTCATCATTTCCAAAAACATTTTCCGCGTTAGGAATAGCAGCAAAATCGCGGCTACAAGTCGTATGGTGATACCAAAGCAAAGGACCTTGCTATCCGGCCAAAGCCAGGAGTTGAGTGCGTCAACGTCTTATGCTTATTTTCTATGTTCTGTTCGCCTGTTAGTTGCTTGCTTTTTGTGCACATTGCTTCTTTATTTTCTTTTTCCTTTCTGGAAACCTAGCTAGCTCCAGTTCACCGGTACGGCGACAAGGCTGAATATGCATATACACGTTTAATTGAGCAGTTAGAAGCCATTATAGCGTTGCGTGTAATGTGCAGCAGTACTAATACTCAGAAATGCTTTACTAAGTAATGGCATGCAAACAGTCGTGGCTACGGATGGACTCCAAACGGCCTCCAGCCATACTAAGTAACCGGACCCTGACACGGGCGACAGAGTGCATACTGCGTAGTGCCAGATCACTTTGAAAGTCGAAGCGCTCTTTTCCATTTGACCAGATAGAAAGTAGACTGCGTGGATGATACCCCTGCAGGAGGAGCCGCTTGAATTCCAAGTGCGCGATGGTAACGCAGACGTGTCGATGATACTGTTGAGAAGTGGTACGTACTCGGTACAGCCGTGGCCCTGCAGGGTGTGCACAGATTCCCGTGACGCACGCCGTCTATCCCAACAGCCTGAACCGGATGGAAACCGACGTTTTGGCGATCAGGTTCAATGCTTTGTTGACTGTTTTTTCTTCTTCTGGCGTGGTCGGGCTTTCGTGCAAAGCTTGGCGTGATGCTGAGTGGGGTTTTAGCTTACCGGTATGTCCCAGTTAGGTGCAACGCGTGAATAGCAATTAGAGAGCCATAGCGCTCGCTAGCGTGGATCACGATCAATTCACCGCGGCAAGACGATGAACCAAACTCTCGGTACAATGATCCTTTTCTAGGTCACGGTTGGGAACTTGTACTACGGTTAGCCATCGAATACGGTCTCCCATCTGGACATCTAGTCGGGCGTCACACGAGCTAAACAAATCTATAGCCAGGGATTTGTAATCTATATTTTATAGCTTGTATTTCCTGAAAATCCTAGCGACCGCGATTATCGCTTAGCGGATCGTGTCAGCTAAAAAGGGCGTTTTCCATGATGCACAGGCCCCTAAAATACCTACAGCGCGCTCAGTCCTGAACCCTTGGCTAATGTCCCTTTGACTTACTTTGTTTGGTCAATGCGGTCTTCCTGTAATGTAGTCTTGCGGACTATCTTTCGTTCGATTGGAAGCTCCTGAATCCCATCGACCGATCGTGTCCTATCTGATCTGGATCTTGCTTCTCTGAATTGCGTATATATACCTCCAGTTCCAGCCGCCTAAACATGAACATTCTATCATCAACATCTTCGTTCTCAATAATAACTACTACAACCACCACGACCACGACCACGACCACTTTCGTACTCAGTTCAATACTTTAACCTAACTTCAGTTTTTGTCTTTCCTCCAACATCAATCTATTAAATCACTTTCAAGATGCTCGCCAAGGTTATCTTCCTCACTCTCGTGGCTGTCGCCGCCGCTGCCCCGAAGAGCGTCCCCAACGACCGTGATGCGAAGGCCATCAAGAACCAGTGTGGTGGAGACGCCGAAGTCTACTGCTGCAACAACGAGACTGCCGAGAAGGCAACCAGCCGAAAGTCCGTTTTTCCTATCGATGCCGATGTTGCCGACCTGCAGAACCTTCTTGGACAGTGCAACGATGTTACTGTTGCTATTTTCCGCAACCTTGTTCCCCTCAATAGGATGTGCTCTCAGCAGGCAGTTTGCTGTAACAAGACTCATCAGACGGTAATAAAACCTTTCCAATATCATTCTCCATTTTGCTGATATGAACATTATAGGGTGTTGTCAATATCGGCTGCAATCCGATCCACATCTAAATGCACACTACTGTCACACAACGAGTAGTTTAGTGTGTTGAGGATGATATTACTTGGGTAGTGGTAGAGAACAAGTCTTCGATTGCAAAGTTCACACTTGTCCCTAGACATCCATTCTCTTCCTACGATCCCTCTATTCTTATTTTTTTTTAATTTACACTCGTAGAGTTACCTAGACTATATACTTAAAACACAAATGGAATTTTTTCTTAACAAAACATCAGCTATCAATACCAGGAACATTATGTCATCCACAATGAAAATCAATCCAAAGCAATGATTGAGATAGCAGATGTACCCACTCTCGAATGAAGGCGCAGACAACCTGAACCCTAAGCCTACCTCATAATGGGGGCGGTTCTTCACCTAGGGATGCACCTTAGCGAGATATTGCTCTCAAAGTGTCATTTCTACCAGCGCAGTGCTTTCCGTTTGCACTACTACAGTTCCCAGTCGGGGACGTCTAGCTCCTTACTCAGTTCACAAAGAAGCCTGTTGAGTGAACGTCTTTCCGAGCCTTGAAAGGTACCAATGAGCAAACTCAGGTAGTTCGTTTTCAACATGTCATTCGGTCTGGTAGCCACCAAGGCTTCAGATCTATGCTAGCAATGGTTGATTCCGTACTTCCTTGTTACCATATTTTTCCTGGAGAGGAATCCTCTCTCTATCCAGATCCGGAATTGGATACATTAGCTCCGCGCATGAACCCGAACTAAACAGGCACTCTAGCTTTAGATCTAGAGTACGAATCCAACGTAACCCTCCGAATACTGAGAGCATAGAGCTACCTCTCAACGATTCCTAGTACCGGAATTGAGTTTTACCTTCCAGGACTTGATACAATTCAAGCTACCAAGCGGAGATACGTTCTGCGGCGAGCTTGGAACGGAAATAGAGGCTATATGTGACAACGTCATTGGACTTGAAGTTCCCGTATATCGAGCAAGATGAACACTAGATAATAAACCCATTGGCCGAAGTGAAAGGGTCGAGAACATATGAGAGGTAGTCTGAACCAGTGTATTCAAGATCTTTCGGACTCATTGATCATTACCTCAAGATCTTTCGGACTCATTGATCATTACCAGGATCCAAGCCTGGTGCCAACAAAACCTATGTTTCAGTGTGCCTGGATCAATTCTAAGATGGACATAGGTGAAGCTGGGACAAGAGATCTTCAGTACTCACAGGACAACTAGCTAATTTTGTCACAGCTTTCCGTTGGAGACTATCCTGTTGGATCCATCGAGCCGCCCGACAAGTCATTGACTATTCGAGTCTCTTTAAAAGAAATGCTTAGAATATATCAAATTCATTGGCTGCTCCTGATGGAGATGCCTTGTTCAATGATCTATGTAAGTTGATGGACTACGAGGTACAACCCCAAAGCAACAATGGAAGCATTGCCGAACGCACAGCGCTTCGAGAAAGTTGACCACGAAATATAGGTAAAGCTAAGTTTATCATCAGAAAGGACTGCAAAAATATCAGGGATTGAGCAGAAACACTTTCCTGCATTGTGGGATACACTTGCGACAACGACGTATCTTCGCGCTTTTGGCAGATGCTTGAACAATCTGAGAACTTGGCATTGCGACCAGCAACTACGTGCCCAAAGACGATGTCTGTTTTGCGTGTCAGATCGGATGGCATTACGGCCCAGGCTGTAGTGAGAAGTAAAGCCATGGTGATATTTCCTGATAGCTGAGGAGCGGGACTGGACATCCTGACCTGCATGGTTCTCGTGCCAGATGCGTCAGCGAAGGCGACTGTGGGATGCGATCTTAGCAGTGTCTATCAATAGTTTATCGAGCTCTTTCGTACCGACTAGTGGTATGACAGATAGAGGGCTAATGTAGGATCAATAAGTACCTTGACTCGGAGATACAGGTCTGAAAAGGACGTCCACAAGATCGCAATGCTCGTTCCGTGATACTGAGCATGTGAAAGCTTCATCACTCTTCGACTTCTGCCTGACTCATGCTTGGCGAGATTGAAAGCGTCGGGGCACTGGCCCTGCTTTATTAGTTCTGTGTCGCGTTCGCACAACGCCTTGAATTCCGCTTCAAAGTCCCCTTCGAGTCCAACAGTCCGGAGGGGCATGTCGAATCGTTCGTTCACAGAACTACATGCCACCACTCTTGTTAAAGACGCAAAAGCGAGCGCATGACTGGATAGGGATATAACAAGGCCGCTCGGTTAAAATTGAGTATCAACAGCTTTAAAAAGCTACTATAGTTGTGCTTTCCTACATAGCAAGGCCACCTTTCATCGAATGCTCCGCAGTCTCAATACTGTTCAATACCAATACAAAAAACTCCTCAAACTCAATCGGTTCTATGCTTGAAAGTGCCAATAGTTTGCCAATCGTTACTGATTGTTATCTTGGAGCCACCGCAGAGTCAAATTCTCAGATGAGTCCGCAGTTCTAGGATTTTCTACTTGGAACGGGAGTGGTGCTTTGGACGTGTAGAAGAAAAGGAAAAGGCTTGGGTGATGGCTTTAGTATATCTTGGCCGAGGAAGGCGACTGGTGGTGTAGGGAATGATCTGGATCGACAAACGTGGGTGTGGCCGCCGTAGTCCTCTCCTGATTATTGAAAGAGATCACGCCAGCCCTTTATTAAAAAACAGAGACGTAAATAGCGAACGGATTATAGTAGCAAGTGAGACTGAAAGCTTTGAAGTCCATCGTGACAACAGCACGACCATAGCGCCACACATATAGGACAATGTTGAATGATAAGAAGCGACTCTGGTTAACAGTCTTCGTCCTTCAACCCTGCAACTTTACGCATCCTCCATGGTAGCGCCATATGTCACTCCCACCTTCTGACTGAATGCCCCGTGCTCCGTACTCAACGCGAGCATTTTAGCAGCACTGGCCGTTGATGTTCTGGCCTTGGTCCTAGTTAGTCACCAGCATTCCAACGAAAGGTCTTCGCATACCCTTAGAGTCGTAAAGGCAGTTGTCAGCACCATAGTAGATATCACCATAGCTTGAAGGCCACGAGAAGTCTTTTTGGCAGTGGTTGGACTGGTCCAACTTGGCTTCGACATGGGCACTACCACCGTCAATCTGGCGCGCACCGTCGTTGCCCGCGCAGAGGATAGATTGGTTGAGAAGGATGCAGCCTCTATTCACGTGCTGTTTCTGAAGTCAGTACATGCTAAGGTTTGGTCAGGAAACAACATACAAACCATGTCGCCGAGACTGAGGCGGTGCAGATCAGGACTGCTGCGAGGGTGGTGGTCTTAATGGCAACCATATTGAGAAAGAGAAGATTGATAATTGTTAGTAATAAAACGTATTTGCAGAGACAGATGAACGTTGCTGTAGTAGATATTCACTTAAGAGAACAACGTCCAGCTCTTTATATCTGCTCTCCACGCCTTTTTGAAAAGAGTTAGCTAACTAGTTGTATCATTCAGCGCTTATTAAACATCCTGAAACCATATACTATTCTGGTACTGCTTACACAGCTTTGCATGATCTCATCTTGAAATTTTTGAGATCATTTTTCGGGCGTATCGGCTCTGTCGATCAAATCCATATAGCCGTTAGCGGCTACAGCCCCACCTATCACACTAATGCTAAGATCATTGTGCTCAGACTTAGCTTCCGGGAGTGGTCTAATGATGATTCTGGATCTCCGGACACCCATGTCACCGGTTATTAGCCACTTCCCCAATCTGGGCACGAAATACAATGCTGCCCAATGCTGTCTCGAAAATAGGAAACATGTGGCACGCCTGGTACGACCAACTGGAACGCCTAATAGAACCAACTCGCACGCCTAACAGATTGAATTGCTCCGTCTGACGAAATATATTGCTCTCCCTGACAGGAAGAACGGACACCTAACTGACAAGTGACTTAGATCTACACGGATCATATGACTTGCAATATGATTGGTGATCAGAAAAGTTAGAGTCTGCCTTAGCTATGCAATGCAGGCAGAAAAAGGTGGAACCCCGATTCATATAGTTGATATTCCGAAAGCAAGCTTGCGAGCAGTGTCAGTTGAAATCGACTTTCTAATCCAAGGTTGGAAGGTGTGTCAGATCAGGATATCCACTTATACTACGCTAAGAATGAAAAGCTATTGTTGAAGGATTCCTCGCCGTTGCCTTGCCTTAAGTAAGCATCTGCAGATCTCTCATCATATTGTACGAACGAATCAAGTCTCTTCTTTTGAGCTTACCATAAACTCGATGCTCAGAGGGGGCCGCACGCACAGCGCGTTGGAAAGAATGAAGCTTCCATCAGTACGCACCCAGCCAAGCGAGAAAGCGACACTAGTCATCCACTTATTTTCAAGATGGGGCTAGGATGCGGTGTAATGAAGAACCGTCTTGGTGACAGCAGAGAAGAACCAGGGGACCGCAGACTCTCGACACTTTGCAAAGCTGGCAACGCCCGACCAGACAAAGATCATCTTGGGGCCTTTAGCCTGCGGTAGAAGCGGAATTGCGCCTTTGACGAGGGCAAAGGCACTAAAGAAGTCGACTTGCATGTGCCTCTTAATGCCGTTCAGGTCGGTGTCTAGGAGCTGCTTGTAGACATTACCAATGCTGACATTGGCAATGACACAGTCAATATATCCTTCACCGTCCGAATTGAGTGACTCAGTGGCAGTGGCTGCGTTTGTCTCGACGGCAGCGTCAATATTTACTAGTTATACGCGGGAGCCCTCGCCCTTCGGGATTAAAAGAATGTCCTGTTATAGTTTGAAAGAGGGGTCCTGGATACCTGCAATCACAATACTGTTCGCTCGGGCTATAACGGCCTTGAGAAAGCCGCCGTTAATATCTATGAGCTTGACACGGTTTGAGCCAATGATCAGAGTGATGGTAGGAGATGATTCAGCGGTCGTGTTTTGACTCGTAGCCTTGACAGCCTAGCAGGTGAGCCTAAAGGATTTGGAGCGGCTGGACGAGTGTCTGCGCCAGTAGAGTAGAGTGTTGAGCCATAGAACATCAGTGGTTAATCTAATTCTATCCTCTATTGTTACAGGTAATAAGAAGAATCCTCTCCTTAATAAATAACAAGATAGCTAAAAGCCTAAGAACGTCTACGTTAAAAGATGATAGATATTATAGAGCTTAGAGTTATATAATATACTATTATACTAAGATAATATATTCTATAAAGCTAAGAATAGTAGTCTATTCTAGATATTCTACAAAGAGAGAAGGGAATAGAATAGATGGAATAGTAAGACTAGAACTAATAAAAATATTAGCATGAATAGATTTTATTATTACTTTTATTATATTTAATCTTAAATAATACTTTCTTACTAGTATCTTTATATTTATAAGATAGTTATGTATCAGTCTATTAAATAGATTAGTATTAGTATATTAAATTATATCTATAGCTTATTTTAATTAGGATTATGTATTGGGAACTTCGAACAAATAGAATATATTAAGATAATGGACCGATCGATCTCCTAATCTAGATTTATAGATTAGTAGGACTATATACTTCCTTTCCTAGTCTAACTAAATCAATTAAGTATAGGATTTTCTTAATTAGTCTAATCCCTTCTAATATCTAATTTTATTAGATATCTAAATAATTAGATAATTATATAATATAGATTAGACTATTCTATTAATTTACTAATTCTCTAACTTCTAATCTTATAATATAATCTCTTAGACTAAGGATTATCTAATTATCTCTTATACTAACTATACTCTTAATAGTTAGATAATTTAAACTTATAAATCTTTAGTCTATCTATAGTCTAACTTTGTTAAGTAGTAATGAGTTTAATATTTCTTTTTTCTAGTATTACCCTTAGTACGTAATCTAATTAACCTATAGTCTTATCTTAATACTTTTTCTAGTAAACTTTCTAATAAATATAATTAGTCTTATATTTAAGTATACTATATATATATCTAATACTACTCTTTTTATCTATAATAGGTAAAATATTAAGTACTTATCTCTACGCTAGATTAATTTTTACTACTACTTCTATCGCTCTTACTTTTACGCCTTCTATAGAGTATAAGAAAAGCTTTAATTTTCTTCTTCTTCTTCTTCTTTCTCTTCTTCTTATATATATATAAAAAATCTAGTCTAGTAGACTACTCTTTAGCTTAAGAGTAAGATATTAATCTAATTCTTTATCTCTTATCTAAAACGTTATACTCTAAAGATATCTATTATAGTATACTTTAAGATAGAGTATTATATATCTATTTTCTTAATTTTATATTATTATTTAAAATATTGATTAAGTTAGATAGTATATATCTATTGATATACTAATTAATATTCTTAATTATAAGTCTCTTACTATAATAGTAGAATTAACTTTAGTATTTATTTTTAGTATATTTACTTCTTCTTCTCTTAATTTAATCTTCTCTTCTTTACTCTATTATAATATTCTTTTTTTACTTACGCTTTTACTTCTATATCTTTATCTCTATTACTACTACTACTATACTTTACTCTTTTTAATAAGATTAATACTTTATCAATCTTACCTTTTTTTTTATCTATTATAGATAATACTACTATTAGCTTATAATACTATATCTCTATCTTTTTCTTTCTTTTTCTATAACTAAAAATAGTAAGATATTATATGTTCTAATAAAGCTCTTTTACTAAAGACGTAAGTTAACTAAGTTTAAGTAAGATAATAAGACTATTACTGTAACGGCACAGGCAAGAAGAATCAGATTCGTTTTAGACGTGAGGTTACTTAGAGGTATATAGGAGTGCGTAGAATATAAGAAATCTAAGAATCTAATTCAATATCTATAGACCTTATATAAAAGGATATTAAAAAACTACTAAATAAACTATTAATCGCGAGATAGTTTTATTCTTATAGTTTCTACTAGACCTAATTAGATCTAGTTTAGATCCTATTTAGATATTAGTCGTGTAGAGGACTTAGC